GTATATAAAATCTATATGTACTGTACATGTACATTTAAAGGGTGGCCCCAAACGCAGTTAACTATGGTAGAACACATTGCTTTAATATTTAGATATTTTCACAAATTTCTGGCTGGCTTGGTTTTAAAAAAGAGTTAATTGACTTCTGGTTTACCTATTAAAATCATCAATTTGACATAATTTATAACGCTTTCGTGTATTTTTTGGTAACTAATTTAGTGAATTTACTACGTATAATAATTTAGTTTACCGAATTAATTGTAATTAAGTTAATTGTATTTATAAAGCAAAAGAATTTTTGTAATGAAATTAAAATCAAGAAAATAATTATCACTTTTTATTTATTTATTTATTTTAATAAAAAATTATAAAAACGTATACAGATTGGAGTGAAATAAAACAGGAATTCAACTGATTGTTAATTCAATTTAAAATATTATGAATATAATGTGATTTACACTTATTGAAATCGACCTTAGTGTTTAAGCACTAATTGCTAGTTGCACTTAGTTTGAAATTAAATAATCATTTATAACGCATATCGCGAAAAGCATTACAAAACTGCTCTTCTAATTTGCATAATACGTCCGACTTTATTACTACAAAGTGTATTACGTTAAATAGTAATTGTTTTCAATGAATCGAAATACTTTAAAATGTTCTATTATATGAAATTTATGAATAAAGTTATTAAAACTTAAAAAAAATTAAAAGTATACAAAATGAATTACAAAATTTAAATTATAAACTAAATTATAAATATATACGTAGTTAAATCTCTAATAACGGCCACCTCTAAACGGCAGACAATTTATCAGGAAAGTTTCTTTTGAAATGCCTACTAAATGGTCACCTCCAAACAACGGCCATTTTTTTTACTTTCACCAATGGTCGTTGTTTAGAGGTTTGAGTGTACTGTACGTACTGTATATACATATGCTCAAACATATACATATATATATATTTTACTTAGAGATTATAAAAAAAATGTCATTCTTATAAGTGCTGCTATTAAACAGGGTAAATGAAAAGTAGGTGAACAACAAATTGATAACATATACAATTAGATTCAATTTTTATGTATACAGTAGTAAATAAATAATTATAAAACACCGTAAAAAATATATATAATACAAACACCACAGTTATAATATAACATTAATCCTATTCAGTCTATCGTCTAACTACTTTTGATTCACGCAGGGTGGCCCAAAAGTCAGTTAACTGCGATTTTTTAAAAGAAAGTTTGCGATTTGTAAAAATAAACAAGCCAGTAGCTTGATCTTTACATAGGTTAACTAACTTTTAGACCACCCTACATATAATTTTAATTAGATTATCAGTAAAATTAACACCGGATTATATTCATAGAGTAAGAAGTGTATTGTTTGTGCTCGTTTGAAAGTGCATATAAATAAATAAATAAAAATATGAGAATCGATGCTGTTTCATTTTAAAAATTTAAACTTTTTATATATATAAATCTGTTATTTAAACTATTTGGAAATTTCTGTAATGTAGAGGATTAAATAAACGTAAGCGTGACCAGTTTCTAAATACATTTAAAATCATTTTTATTTTAATGGAAGATACTTATAACTAACAATGGGCTATTATAAAGAATAAAATATGTAATTTTCTTAATATACAAATGTTTTCATATTACTTAAGTTATCTAATTTATTTTTCTTATTTAGATCGAAATATTGTGTAAATGAGTTAGAGAAAACCTTGGAAAAATTTTATACATTATGCAAATGATGAGCAGATAATGATGGGGAGGGGTGGCCCTTTAAGTTTTGATAAGAATTATCACCTCCTGTTAAAAAGCTATTTTACAATTCGTTCCAATACTTATCTTACTGATTGAAAGGTATCATAAGGGAGACAACAAATTACTTTTCTTAATATTTATATCGCGTACTAAATCGTTGCTAAACTTATGTGATAAGTATTTACGATGCTTTTTATATAATTTGACTTCCCTTTTCCTCAATTTAATATCATTAATTTTTATGATTTATGATAATTTTAATCATTATTCATTGTTAAATACGAAAAAATCCTTTGCAGCCGTTGCTGTTTAATCATTAAACTAATTCTTTTAATGCTCTCGAATAAAGATATACATTTTAGAATAAGTAAATTTTATGATTTTAAAAGCTTCTCTTCTCTTAAAAGATTTGTTAAATCGAGTTTTTTTATTTTTTAATCTTAAATTTTTCTTATTTTGTTAGAATTNTAGAATAAGTAAATTTTATGATTTTAAAAGCTTCTCTTCTCTTAAAAGATTTGTTAAATCGAGTTTTTTAATTTTTTAATCTTAAATTTTTCTTATTTTGTTAGAATTTAATTTATTATTACTGCTGTTGTTGCTACTCTATGCTATTACTACACAGACTTGTGGACCTAAGCTATAACACATAACAGGCCCTTCCCCTTCATTAAATAACGATAAACTTAAAAATATGAGGCCCTAAACTATAACACATAGCAAGTAATTTTCCTCTAACAAATAACGAGAAGCCTGAATGTAAAAATATGAGGAACTAGGCTAGGGACTCGTAACTCGAGGGCCTAAGCTGCAGCTTATTTAGCTTATGTGCAAAAAGCAGCCCTAATTTTATAATAATTAATATAATAGCAAATTTATATAATTAAACTTCAAGCTATATCAAATCTTTAAAAGTGTTTTAAATACTTTCAGAAAATGGATATCGATTTAATAATGCAGAAAATAAATCTCTATTGATTCTAAACTTCTCGACTTGTTTCATTAAAATAAAAATATTTTAATATATAATAAACATCGAAACTAATATCGAAAAATTTACTTTTAGAAAATATAAATTCGTCATTTAAAATCCGGTAAAGATTAATAAAATTTGATCTTTTAAATTTATTTAATTATTTTTTTTTTTTTTTAAACTTCCCTTCTGGTGTGATTTTTAAATGAAAAGAAGGGAGGAGAATTCGAAATTGAAGAAAAGAACAATTGTATGAAGTTGTATTTTTGAGTTTCAGAAATTGAACTAGGTTTTTTATATATATATATATATTATTTTTCTTTCTTGTGTAATTTTTTTCTTTCAAGAAACGGGAGTTGAAGATAAAAAGATACACAATACAAGCGATCTGAAGAAAAGTTGATTGTTGTGCTCAATTGTATTATGTAATTCGTATAGAGTTGTCCATTAAGTCTTGTTCTTAAAAGAGTTGTCACAAGTGAAGTTCTTAGATAACAGTCTCTTTCACAGTCTCGCTGCCGATGGCAGCTTTGGATCGTCAGTACTATGATGACCATTTAAAGTGATGGATGAGAAATGGTCCGATATCCCACGGCTATTTCTACTAACAGAAGATACGTACTAAGTAGCAGATTTAATACGGTCAATTACATCGTATCCATTTTGAAAAAAATAACTTGACTATCTCAATCAAAACCGCTATTAGTTTCTAAAAAATTTCTAAAATACTATGAGTAAACGTTAACTATCTTAAGGTCAATAGACCGAACATTACTAGATAGTGATTTGCAATTGATGGAATAGGAAAGGAATTTCCTTTTTTAAAATATATATATGTGTGTGTGTGTTTTTTTCTTTTTTGAATGTTAAATTATGATGCATTCTCAACATTAAGATACCATTTCTAATGCATCGCATCTCACTTTGTTTTGTTTGTCCTGCCTTTGTAGAAATGTAATGAGAATATGGCGTGGTTCCAGCATATATAGTTAAATTAAAAAATACTTCATGGGGACTTTTTTCTAGTGAAATATTAAAAAGTTTAATAAATCGAGTCTGGAAGAAGTTATGCTTGCAGAGTGACCGAGAAAAACTTCTGTTTTTTTTTTTAACGTCCATTTATTAAACTGCTTAAAAAGTATTTTCAGCAGAAGGATCGAGTTTATTCCTTCTTCAACCTCATTCATTTGTTTAATGTTTAGTGATATTTTCCTATCTTTAGTCACTTCCTGAATTAAATCATTCTCTTGTTGTGAGAATATAACAATTAAAAGCGTTATAATGTACATTTTTAATGAAAAGAATTGAACATATTGATTGTAAACGTAATAGTACTCAATAATAGTTAACCTCAAATACAAACAAAACATTCAATTATTATGGCTCTATTCTTACAGATGTATTATTACAATTCAATATTGTACTACTAAATTGTTCTCCTTACTTGAGGAGAACAATAGTAAGAATATTACTTTTGTCAAAGTTAATTATTGTTAAAGAACTTCTTTACAGTTAATTCAAGATAAATATTATTGTTACAAGTTATGAGTTTTAGGGCTCGTTTTGTGGCCCTAAGCTACTACAGTTTAGGATTACAACAAACCTCAAATTATAAATTGCAGGAAACCCTTTACTCTTCTTCATAACTAATGAACACTGTTAGCCATGGGTTCGCGCCTGACAAATGGACTGGCCACGTGGAGTATTCCGGGTTTAATTCACGTGTCTAATACCTGAACAGGGTGTAATTTCCATAGAAAGGTCTCTTAAGAGGCATTCCCATTGGGAATGCAAAACTTCCTCTAAGTGTTGCATTGCCTTATTGCATCAACAAACTAAAACTAAATAATCAACCTTCAACATTTAAAAGCGTGAGATCCTAAGCTTTAGTTGTTTACCTTACATGTAATTTTGTGGGGCATATGAACCCACAATAATTGAATTACTTAGAATTATATGTTCAGCTATATGTTTGATTATTGTGATTCTCCTCTTATTATATGTACTGTACAGTACAATGATTATGGTTCTTCCCATATTATGTTTAATTATTATAATACATTAGTTAAGGTTTATTATTATTATAGTTAATATTATGGCGTACTATAATTGAAAATACCACTATTATGCAAAATAATTATTAATTAAATACATCATTAAATGTAAAAGAGAAATTTATGAATTTATTAATTGAATATTTTTACTTTTGGTAACAATTTTTTATATATTTTTCCATATATTCTTACACTTCAGGCAAACCTCGACCTTCTGTCACATGGTGGAGGGATTATTTATTAGTAGATGACACATACACTTACGATTCTGGAGACACAATTGTTCGAAATGACCTGACCATAGAAAAGCTGAGGAGAGAAGATTTGTTGGTTGTTCTTACTTGTCAAGCCATCAATAATAATATAACTGTCTCTGCTTCCAGTTACATCACACTAGATCTCAATTGTAAGTAGAAAAGTGACTTGGATAAAATTATTGTCTTAATTCTTACTTAAATAATGTATATATTAACTAATAACTAAAAGAATTAACTTTTGTCTTTTGTATTGTATTTCTTTCTAACAAATTTAATAAATTGAAAACAAAAAACTTTATATATTTTTGAATTAAGAAATTGATTTAGTGTTTCTGTAAATGTCGAAATAAAAAAAAATAAATAAAAGTTGAAAGTTAATATCAGTAACGCCAGCTTGGGTACAAGATAATCAAGTGAGACATCAGAAGAAATAAAATAAAAAAACTGTAAAGTAAAATAAGTTGATTTTGTTGAAGTTTAAAATAAATTTTAAAGAAAAGAGGACATCATAAAATAAAAAATATATATATCTAAAAAGGAAGACATTTTCTCTAAACAACTGTCCCATTTTTTCATAACTTAGATATCAACTCTATTTGCAGCAGCTGCACAATTACTGCAACCATTAGCGTGCAAGATTGCTAGGTTATCACTCCACAATCTTAGGTTATGATAACTTCACTCTGCTACCAAAAATCTGAAGACAAATAGAATTTGATCGGGTTATCAGAAACAGATCGACATACAGACGTTTTATTAAAAACTTTTCAATATAGTAATTGATACAATCTAAAGCCTTAATATCACATTTACTGATAGAGAATTAGTGTAAAGTTCTATTTCATATTCAATGAAAATGAATAATTCAATATTTATTAAAATGTTACTATAACTGTCTTAATTAAGTAGAGAAATTATAAATGAACTCAAAATTTTAATATCATGTTGAATTGTTTAATAAATTATATGATGAATATTCAGTTATTTTTACTTAAATTACAAAGTAATTAATAGTGAAATTACTTTATTGTCTTAATTAATTTATAACGTTTGCTATTTAGAATTTTCAAAAGAGGGAATTTTACATTTGATTCGGCAAAATTTCACGGTATATATGAATAAAATATTTTAAAATGTAATTAGGTTTGCAATACGGATACAATTGTAAATTAAAAGACTTGGAGAAAGTAGAAATGCTAAAGTATCTCTTCTCCTTTTTCTACTTCATCTTATCTTTCTTGTTCTTTATCCTTTCCTTCTTTTCCTCCTCTCAATTATTCTCATTCGCCTTTACTTCGTTCTCGTTTTCCGTTTCCTACTCTTTTTTGTTCTCCTTTTTGTTCTTCATCATTATCATCATCATCTTCACCCTTTTTTTCCTTTTCTTCTCACATATCATCATCATTCTCTTCTCTTCTTTCCTTCTCGTTTTTTTTCCTTCTCAGTTTCATCTTCATCATCTTGGCACGAGATGGGAAGAACTACAGTTGCGCTTCTAGTTTTTCAGAGTGGCAATAAAACGAACACATCTAAATTATCTTTTATACTCTTTTTGTTTTAGTGAAACCGAGCACTGTAGAGGTTCAACCAAAACAACGCCCATTGTCTGCAGGAAAGGAGACGGAATACACATGTGTAACAAGTGGAGCCCGTCCAAAAGTAGTGATAGCTTGGTGGAAAGGCAGCGAACAAATAAAAACTGAGACTCCTAGTGATGACAGCAGTAGTACAATCGTGTTCACGCCCACTATAGAAGACGACGGAAAATATTTCTATTGTCGTGTCTATAACCCTTTAATCCCTAGCAGTGCTTTAGAAGATGGCTGGAAGTTAGAGATACATTGTAAGTATCTAATATGTGCCAGATTACTGTTTAAAAAAAGGCAACTTTACACAAATATAAAAGAAAAAATAATCTATCCTTTCCACCTTCCTCTATTGAAAACACGATATCTAATAAAACGATAGGATTATAGGATAAAGTTATTTGAAATACTACTGTACTGACTTTAATAATAGTATAATAATATAAGTGCTTACTACTTATTACATTAATTTAAGGATAAGGTCTTTGATACAAAATTATTTTCCTTACTTTAGATTTAACCTTAGTATATGCTTATATACGTACTGTATATTAAATGAGATTAAACTGACAGTTTAAAAATATAAGAAAATATAAGAGATTTTTAATATAAATTTATATAATCTGCTTCATATAAATATAATAGAATATACTCGTATTTAATGGTAAAATATACATAAATTTTGGAGCTTTGAACGTGTTAAAGTGTGTAATTGTATATCTAAATTACGCAAAGATTCTTTAATTTAAAAAAATTATATTAAATTTACAATTTAGAAAGTAGAATTTTAAAGTTTAATATTAGAAAATGAATATTAAAATGTAATTTTATTTATTTAATTATTTTAAATAAAATTTTCCGAGGAGAAAGATCAGATAGGATTTGATAAGATAAGATCAAAGGTTATAATATAATTAAAAATTTTTAATATAAACGTTAGTTAAATTTAGAATAAAAATATAATAAAAGAATTTTTAATTGATTATTTACATTGTTTAATTTTACGAGATTATACTGAGTAAAATTGGTAAGCAAAATTTCATGTAGGAATTAATTCATTATAAGGGAAGATATCTAACTAACTAATAATAACTGATTTTAATTAAATTTCAGTTAACCATGATTAAAAATGCTGAAAATATTTTTTAATTTCAAGTGGAATGAAGCATATCAAACGTATCCTTCAGTGAACAGATAGTTTTACTTGAAGGATATGTTGCATATGAAGGATACTTAATGCTTATATTTAATAAGCAATTATAAAAGAATATTCATTTAATTCGCTTGCAAATTTTATTTGGAATTTTATTCGCATTAAAATTATATTTTTATATATAAAAATGCGTATTTATCATATTTATTTGAAATTAAATTCAATTGAGATTTAATATCGTCATACTTAGATGTTTGTTTGTTGGATATATTGAGTTAATTCTAATAGAATAAGGAAGAGAAATTGTATTTTTTTATTTTATAAACAACAATTTTAATTTTGCGTATGTTTATTTATTAGTTATAACATAAAATATGTGCTAAAATAATAACTTAAATTGAATTAAGTAATATATATTGATTTTAATATAACAGGATACATTTATTATTATATAACTAACTTTTTAAACAAATTTTAACATTCAAAGTTACATATTTATCCAGCAAATTTATGGTAAAATTCATTAATATATTTAATTTTTAATAATAAATATATAGCAATGTACAGGCCTACATATATATTAAAATACGCTATACTAAAATATATACTTTAAAATTTATATAGAACAGTAAAAAATTGAAAGCTATAAAAATATTTTTCATTTTTTTATAGTTTACATAGCGTAACAATTTTCAAATATATATATTTTTCAATATTAAAGGTAAATCTTCAAACACTGTCCCTCTAGAACATAACCCATTGGCAATCTCATTGCTTATATTCGAGTAAAATAGCTTTTTTGTATTTTCTACTATATCCTAACAATATTTTTCTACAGTGTAGTACATATATATATATATATACTACATGCTATTTTATCACAGATCGACCTCAAGTTACTCTACAGATTGGAAAAACGCTGCAAAGAAAACATTTGCAAGAAGGTGATGATGTCCACTTGGAATGTCATATTCGATCTAATCCGTGGATCAATAATATCCAATGGTACTTCAATGGAAGTGAACTGCACAATGATATTATGGCTGGTATTGTGATCAGCAACCAATCCCTGGTCTTAGAAAAAGTGCAACGGACTAATAGAGGAATATATTCCTGTTCTGCAAAAAATCAAGAGGGAGGAGGACATAGCAATGATGTCTACTTACCAATAAGATGTAATTAACATTTGAAATTTCTTTTCATATATTAAATTCTAATTTATTTATTAAAATTAGATGATAAGATTATAGTTTAGAGGTATGACCGTGTGCAGACTTGTTGCCCATTACCAAATAATAAATTTAAATGCATGAAACCCTCTAATCTGCATCTCGTTCAGCTTATATGCAAGAACGGATTACGGTTCTAAACTCTAACATAAAAGGCCCTTTCCGCCCCCAGAAAATAATAATAAATTTAAAATTTTGAGGCCCTAAATTTGTGATGTAAGGCCTTAAGCTGTAGTTTGTTTATCTCGTGTGTAAATCCGTCATAAATAATTTTAAGATTATGTGAATGAAATCAGAAAACTGATTTATCATTCTTAAGACTCTGACAAATCGAGAGGGAGAGAGAGCTTGAAATTTTGTATCAATTTTGTAAGGCTGTCTGGTTTTCTGTTCACAGAATTTATTGAAAATCAGAGGAAATGAAATCGAAATTTTGTATCCTATTCATTTTTCTGATATTTGTTCACGAGATTTCTTGAAAACTAAAAATGCTATAAACTTGAAGTTTTGACCTATTTTATTCGTTTGTATGTTTTATTTATCCAAAAATTTGTTGGAAACTATAAAAGCTAAACAATTGAAATTTTATATTCAGTTTGTTTACTCTTCCCTCCGCCTGTCTGAGTGTCTATCCGTAAGATTTCTCGAAAATTAAGTAAATGAAACCTTTAAAATTAATAAAATTACGTATATTAAATTAAATATTGAAAAATTGTCTTTAGCTTATTATCTTTTTAATAAATGTCAATATTTTTATTAATATTTATAAATAAATAAAATAAAGGAAACTTTTCAATGTTTGAATCATATTTGAGATTTAAAAAAGAAAATTTTAAAGGACGTGTATCATTTTAATTGAATGAAAACTTAATAAAATTCATAAAAATAAAACTGATATTATTATTTTTTAAATTTAATAAGGAAATATACAGTATATGTATATTTATTTATTTTATAAAACTGTACACTTTTTTTTAAAAATATGAACTTTTAATGAAATAAAATTTTCACTTTTAATTAACAATTTTATTATAAATTATTATTATTATTGTAAGAAAATGTAATAATAATAAGAAGAAGAAGAAGATAAAAAATTGTTTAGTTTCTGTATTTGAAAATGATTTTGACAGAATGACATTTTTATTTTAAACATTTCGGCATTTTTAAATATTTTCAGTAATATGAATTCCAGTATAAAAATTGCATTTTTTATTATTTTTTAGAATTTAGAGATAACAAATGAGAAATTTCAAATTTTTGACAATTTAGAATGTGTCAAAATTAAAAAAAAAAAAAAAAAAGATGAAAAGCCCATTCCCTATGTTTTAGACATTGACATTCATTTAATGCTTCATACTGTGTTCTTCGTAATATATAACATTAAAATCAGCTCTTATTGTGAAATATAATTTTATTGTTAAAATTGAAATATATCAACATTTAGAAATTAAACCTCATTTCTTACATTATAAAATTTACTATGCGTTTACAGCTCCATTCACAAATTACGTAACACTATTTTTATATTTTTCAACTACTATACTTCCCTCTGTAATATTCAATAATGCAGCAGCATATATTACTCACACAATTATGTAACGTTATCCTGGATCAACTCCCTTAATTGTAATAAGGAGTTATATGCAACACGGGGATAGTGAACGTTGTATTATTTTATTAATTACGTGTATAACGTAGAAAGCGGACTTAAATAGTACAGTTCGCTAGGTAACACTTCAGAAACACAAATGAATTATTCTCTTACCCGTAATAACGTTTTTATAAACGTTCCACCTCATTGTAACGTATCGTAATGATTACCTACAATAATCACCCAACAATATCTGTTACGTAATTTATGAATGTTCTTCGTAATATAGGCTATATTGAAATCAAATATCATTAAAAATTTATTTGTATATTAATATTTTTTATGGTATTAATTGATTTTTATGATATTTTTACATGATATTTTACAAAGAACAGAGTAAGGAACATTAAATGTATATTAAGTTCGCAATGAAAAAAATGGGTTTTTAATCTCATATTTTTTAATTTTTAAATATTCTAAATTACAGAAATAAAATTATAAATAATTTTTGAATTATTTTAATTTCGTTTCTCAATTTAGAATGGTTTAAATTTAAAAAAAAAGAAGTTAAAGACATATTTCTTATAATGTAGAATGCTCTTTGTAAAATATCAAATTAAAATTAATTATTACCATGAAAAATAATCAAAATTTATATAAAATTTTATTCGATTTATATTATTATTGTTGTTATTTTTAGAATTTTCATTATTTATGGAAGGTAGTTTGAATTTTCGAGTGGTGTGAGTTGTATTGATTTTGTCGTTGTTGAGATATTTAGAATAATATCTGATGAAAGTTCCGTTAATCTGTAATTCTCAATAGGATTAACTAAAATAGATTTGTTATATTGTTAATGTTCATGTATAAATAAAATGTTTTAAAATTAATAATTGCAATTTTTGATAAATTTTTCTTTCAAATTCGTATAAATTAAATTATTGTGGTTTAAATTTATACACGCGCCTTAACACAAAAAAATATTTTTTACAATATTTTGAAAAAAAATTATGTTTTTATAAAGAAAAACAAAGATTCATTTCACTTTTAATGAATTTTATTCACTATTTACGCTTTCAATCATTTATTTAGTGTAAAAAGCATGTATACTTTCACCATCATCAGTATACTTATGGATTAAATTGTTTTTTAATCCATAATTGCATTGAAGATAATGATGATGCATAATCCATAGTTGTAAATTCGTGTGCCTAACAAATTTTATATAAAAATAATTATTAATAAATATTTTATTTATAAATAACTGAAAGTTCTGTTTCCATTTTAATACTCTTCTATCTGCAATAGTAATATCCTACATATCCTGTACTTAAACAAAATAATTATATATAGAGTTGTGAATTTAAAGAAAAACCACTTCATTNATATATTATTTTTCTTTCTTGTGTAATTTTTTTCTTTCAAGAAACGGGAGTTGAAGATAAAAAGATACACAATACAAGCGATCTGAAGAAAAGTTGATTGTTGTGCTCAATTGTATTATGTAATTCGTATAGAGTTGTCCATTAAGTCTTGTTCTTAAAAGAGTTGTCACAAGTGAAGTTCTTAGATAACAGTCTCTTTCACAGTCTCGCTGCCGATGGCAGCTTTGGATCGTCAGTACTATGATGACCATTTAAAGTGATGGATGAGAAATGGTCCGATATCCCACGGCTATTTCTACTAACAGAAGATACGTACTAAGTAGCAGATTTAATACGGTCAATTACATCGTATCCATTTTGAAAAAAATAACTTGACTATCTCAATCAAAACCGCTATTAGTTTCTAAAAAATTTCTAAAATACTATGAGTAAACGTTAACTATCTTAAGGTCAATAGACCGAACATTACTAGATAGTGATTTGCAATTGATGGAATAGGAAAGGAATTTCCTTTTTTAAAATATATATATGTGTGTGTGTGTTTTTTTCTTTTTTGAATGTTAAATTATGATGCATTCTCAACATTAAGATACCATTTCTAATGCATCGCATCTCACTTTGTTTTGTTTGTCCTGCCTTTGTAGAAATGTAATGAGAATATGGCGTGGTTCCAGCATATATAGTTAAATTAAAAAATACTTCATGGGGACTTTTTTCTAGTGAAATATTAAAAAGTTTAATAAATCGAGTCTGGAAGAAGTTATGCTTGCAGAGTGACCGAGAAAAACTTCTGTTTTTTTTTTTAACGTCCATTTATTAAACTGCTTAAAAAGTATTTTCAGCAGAAGGATCGAGTTTATTCCTTCTTCAACCTCATTCATTTGTTTAATGTTTAGTGATATTTTCCTATCTTTAGTCACTTCCTGAATTAAATCATTCTCTTGTTGTGAGAATATAACAATTAAAAGCGTTATAATGTACATTTTTAATGAAAAGAATTGAACATATTGATTGTAAACGTAATAGTACTCAATAATAGTTAACCTCAAATACAAACAAAACATTCAATTATTATGGCTCTATTCTTACAGATGTATTATTACAATTCAATATTGTACTACTAAATTGTTCTCCTTACTTGAGGAGAACAATAGTAAGAATATTACTTTTGTCAAAGTTAATTATTGTTAAAGAACTTCTTTACAGTTAATTCAAGATAAATATTATTGTTACAAGTTATGAGTTTTAGGGCTCGTTTTGTGGCCCTAAGCTACTACAGTTTAGGATTACAACAAACCTCAAATTATAAATTGCAGGAAACCCTTTACTCTTCTTCATAACTAATGAACACTGTTAGCCATGGGTTCGCGCCTGACAAATGGACTGGCCACGTGGAGTATTCCGGGTTTAATTCACGTGTCTAATACCTGAACAGGGTGTAATTTCCATAGAAAGGTCTCTTAAGAGGCATTCCCATTGGGAATGCAAAACTTCCTCTAAGTGTTGCATTGCCTTATTGCATCAACAAACCAAATAATCAACCTTCAACATTTAAAAGCGTGAGATCCTAAGCTTTAGTTGTTTACCTTACATGTAATTTTGTGGGGCATATGAACCCACAATAATTGAATTACTTAGAATTATATGTTCAGCTATATGTTTGATTATTGTGATTCTCCTCTTATTATATGTACTGTACAGTACAATGATTATGGTTCTTCCCATATTATGTTTAATTATTATAATACATTAGTTAAGGTTTATTATTATTATAGTTAATATTATGGCGTACTATAATTGAAAATACCACTATTATGCAAAATAATTATTAATAAATATTTTATTTATAAATAACTGAAAGTTCTGTTTCCATTTTAATACTCTTCTATCTGCAATAGTAATATCCTACATATCCTGTACTTAAACAAAATAATTATATATAGAGTTGTGAATTTAAAGAAAAACCACTT